TCGTGCATTTATATCACACATCCAATGCACATTATACGTTAACATGTGACCTTGACTCTCATTTTCAATTTGAAACGAGAATATAACACGACTTAAAGATCCCCATCGTTGTCCAAAATGTGGATTGACATGATCAAGTAAATATCTCAATCGATTAACAATATCCGCTTTAGCTTGTTCATTGGAATAAAATGTCGATGCATCATTTGGTGGAGAACATCCAATTGCTGTTGGAATGCCATATTTTGATACATAACCATCAGCTTTATATGCACAACATCCTAATGAATAACGACCATGAAGCGCTATTATTAGTTTAATACGTCCAGCACCATAAATAGCAACGTTTTCGATAAACTGATCAACACGTGCTAACATATCACTATCTATATAAGGTGAACCTACACGATATCTTTCGATGTCATTAGCTGCTATAGCGCGTGAACCAGCTTGACTATCATCAATTGTTGCTAAAAAGATTCGTATGACATGAACATTGTTCTTACGTAATGTGTTAATTAATGTAATTTGATCATCTTGAGGAAGAGCCCATGCAAAGAATGAATGAGCACCTGACCAAGCTTGACGAGTATCTATCATGAATAAATTAATATTTATCGAATTGATAACAAGACAAGAAAAAATAGCATTTCTGTTTTACTTTTATCATTTTATCAAATATATCATATTATCAAGAAGAAAGAGTAGTGCTGAATAGAAGAAAAAAACATATGTTAAGCCTTTCTTTTTCTCAACTAGTATTAGACAAAAAACAAAATTATATTCACTTGAGTATCATGCAGGATGTGGGTGTAGGTGTGAGTATGAGGATGAGGTCGGTGTATATAAAAATTCAAATTCAACTAACCCACTTATCCACACCACACGTCATGCTGAATGTTTTAATTTTGAAATGACAACATTTGGATTTTCATCAAGTAAATGTAATGGGCGTGGAATATGTATACAGAATCATGAAGGATTTCCAACAAGTTCGATATATCTTTGTGAACCATGTAGTTATGGATATATTTGTCAATTTTCAACAGCTGACTATACTCTATCACTAAATGCTATCATTGATTCACATGTACGTTTGACAGTCGTGAGTATTTTTGCAACAAACAATAGTGATTCAAATTATTGAAGCTTTTATTAGTGCTGTAGTCATAATCGGCACCTTTCTAAGCATTTTTACAATTGTTACATTTTCTCGAAAAAAGACTCATGACGTTAGTTTCGGTTTCTACTTGTTGATATCATCTATATTCGGTCTTCTAACTATGCTCGTACTGATGTGTAAGTTGATTTTCTTGACAAATATTGCGTCGCGAAATATCAGTTGTTCACTTATCGAATTTTTACTCAAATGGTTGTCAACAAGTTGTGAATGACTAAATGCATGTGTAAGCATTGCATGTTTGTTAACGGTTGTCAATCGGACTCATTTTTCTCGTTCGAAAAGTAAACATAAACATATATTAATTGCACCGATTATTCTCGGCATTCTTTTCTTACCTTGTGTTGCTCTCACCTTTGTTTTTGTATGTACAAAACTTAATCGACATCCATTCCTCAGCCTATTCACTTATCTGGTCGGCTTTTTACCATCGATCTCTGTATTATGTGCATTTGTTCTACCGGTTGAAGTTTACCGAAGTATTTTTTTTTTGTATTTGTCAAACGAATTGTATCAC